GAGTCCCACATCGGGCTTCCTGCTCAGCAGGGAGTCTGCTTCTCCCTCTGACCCTCTTCCCTCTCATGCTTTCTATCTCATTCTCTCTCTCTCTCAAATAAATAAAATCTTTAAAAAAAATAAAAAAATTTAAAAAATTAAATTAAATTAAAAAAAGAAAGTAAAAGAGGGCATACCTGGCTGGCTCAGTCAGAGAAACATGCGACTCTTGATCTCAGGGTCATGAGTTTGAGCCCCACATTGGGTGTAGAGATTACTTAAATAAACGAATATTTAAAAAATAGAGCTTAAATTGTTTATTCTACTTCTAACAGGGCTTAGCCCCAGTCTACATCAATGTGAAATCCAGCACAAAAAAAGCTGAAAACTTAAAGCCAAGAATTGTGTTTTATGCCTTGCACTCCCCTCACAGAGCCCAGCAGTGCCTGAGAGTAAGAGAAACAGCAACAATAAGACTGGCTGTAGGCACTTACTCAGCTGGGGCCAAGCACCTGTGAGGCAGTTAGTATCCACCATCTTGTTTAATCCTCACAACTTCAACTTGAGGCCCCTTGTCCTGGGGGATGAGTGATTTGCCCAGGGATTCCCCCTAGGCAGTGGGGTGGGGATTTGAAGGAGGGATCCAGATCCCACAGTAGGCATTCAACAAGTAGGTAACTAGATAAACAAGCTAATACAAATAGAGGTCCGGGGCGCCTGGGTGGCTCAGTTGGTTAAGTGACTGCCTTCGGCTCAGGTCATGATCCTGGAGTCCTAGGATCGAGTCCCGCATCGCAGGGAGTCCGCTTCTCCCTGACCCTCCCCCCTCTCATGTGCTCTCTCTCATTCTCACTCTCGAATGAATAAATAAAATCTTAAAAAAAAAAAAAATAGGGGCACCTGGGTGGCTCAGTCGTTAAGCGTCTGCCTTCGGCTCAGGTCATGATCCCGGGGTCCTGGGATCGAGCCCCGCATCGGGCTCCCTGCTTGGCGGAAGCCTGCTTCTCCCTCTCCCACTCCCCCTGCTTGTGTTCCCTCTCTCGCTGTGTCTCTCTCTGTCAAATAAATAAATAAAATCTTTAAAAAAAAAAAATAGTAGAGGTCCATAATCTATAAGCATTAGAGCTGCGCTTGTTTTAGTTTCAAAATTTTTCAATTAAGAATATTACATACTAGGGCGCCTGAGTGGCTCAGTTGGTTGAGCGACTGCCTTCGGCTCAGGTCATGATCCTGGAGTCCCGGGATCGAGTCCCACATCGGGCTCCCTGCTCGGCGGGGAGTCTGCTTCTCCCTCTGACCCTCTTCCCTCTCGTGCTATCTCTCGTTCTCTCTCTCTCTCAAATAAATAAAATCTTTAAAAAAAAAAAGAATATTACATACTACAGGGCGCCTGGGTGGCTCAGATGGTTAAGCGTCTGCGTTCGGCTCAGGTCATGATCCCAAGGTTCTGGGATCGAGTCCCGCATCAGGCTCCCTGCTCCTTGGGAGCCTGCTTCTCCCTCTCTCTCTCTCTCCCCCTCTGTCCCTCATGAATAAATAAATAAAATCTTTAAAAAAAAAAATATTACATACTACAGTTAAGATATTGAATTATCAGCAGTTTGGCTATAAAAACAGTATTATTTCATACTCTTAAGCATTTTTAATTTTTAAAGTAAATTCAGTGTTCCTAAAACAATATGATACACGTTTAGTTAACTCATTACACAAAAGGATCAAATTTCGTTTAACCAATTTACTTATTTCCCTACTAAACTAATTAGCTGAATATTTTTTGCCCCAAATGAAAGTAAAGCTTTCTTTTGAAGGGTTTAAGAAAAAAGGGGGGGGTGTAAAAAAAATAAAAATAAAAAAGACCATACATATTCCTAAAAAGGTGAAGTTTTAATTTTTAGCTATACACACAGAACCATTAAGTGTTAATGTTTCACACGCTGATCCTGACAGATCACACAGATGGGCATCTTTTAAAAATCAGTTCAACTGTCCTTGCATCTGAATTAGCTGTAGAAACAATTTCGAATGTCTAATTTACGACCATCTAAACAAGCTAATTCACAACTTGGGAGGCATAAAGGCCACATCAGTTCTAATGACAAGTTTGGGGACTATCAATCAAAAGGAAGAGCGATGACAGAACTCTTCCTTCGACTTTACAGGACCTGAAAAATGTACCAACTGCATCCTGAGTTTGATGAAACTCATAGTAATTCTTGGAGCTTCCTTGTTTAACACTCAACACTACTCGAGCACTGCTGAGACACACAATTTTGCTCGGATTACACTGAGATTCTTGTTCCTATGGGAGAAAAAAACTGCATAAGCCAAGTCTTGTCTTCCTCTAGGGCCTGTAGCCACACAGACAGTAATGAAAAGAAATGCCTTGAGTCACAGGGCAGCTCCGCTCAGGGAGCCTGTTCTGCTACATCCCATACCTAATGCAAGAAGCGAAAGCCAATTTCTTTTTTTTTTTTTTTTTATGACCACACCACTTTCAGAGAAAAGAACAGTCTTAATCACACCCAGCTCCTCACAGCCAGAATCTTAAAAGTTTCTCCACGGAAAGAGCAACAATTATCTCACACACCCCCCCCCCAATTTTTTTTTTTTAAAGCGGCGAAATACAGCGGAAGATACCCCGTGGTAAATCAGTTTAGGGTCACCAAACCAGCTCAGGCAAATATTCGTCAAGTCCTGTCGACCCGACCGCCGGGACACACGAAGCTCCTAACCGGGCTCGAGAGATTGATGTAAAAGCCCAGAAAGGGTCCTTTTTTACGAAAGGCAACTCCAAGCCCACCGATGGAGGGGCAGACCAGCGAGGGTGGCGGCGCGGCTGGGGGGTCCCGCCCGGCGCGCAGCCGGCCCGAAAGAAGGCGGGAGGGTGGAGTTCACTTTTCCCTTCGGCCGCCGGTCGGCCACTCCCTCCCCCACCAAAAATTTAAAAAAGAAGAAAAAAAAGAAAAGCCGGAACCAGGCCCGTGCCGTCCGGTCCCGGAGGGAGTGAGTGGCGGCCCGCACCCCACGCCCCGCGCCGCTGAGGGGCCGGCTCCCGGCCCGCGCGAGCCCGCCCCGGCTCCCGGCCCCCGCCCCGGCTCCCGGCCCGCGCACTCACCCGTCTCCCACCACCACACACTTGATGGCCTGCATCTGGGCCGCTCGCTGGGCCGCGGCGGCGGCCGGGCGCTGACGCGAGAAACGGCGAACTCGGGGCGCGGCGGACGGGCGGGCGCGCGGCTGCGGACGGCAGGGCGCGGGGTGCCGGGGCCGCTGTCCACGCCGCCTAGCCCTCCGCGGACGGGAAGCCGGAGCCCAGAAGCGGCCACCACCCAAAGCTGAAGGAAAACTGCGGAGAAACAGGAAATGGCCGCTCCACTCACATCCGGTCTCCCCTCCCCCGCGCCGGCGCGCCGCTCCCAGGCTCCGGGGCGGGGCCGCTCCTGCCCGCGCGGCTCCCGGGCTTCCTGCCGGCTTCGGGGACGCTCGGGAGCGCTCGGGAGTGCTCGGCTGGAGGGAGGGAGGGCGCGGGGGCGGGCCGGCCGCCATCTTTGTGCCACCTGGCGAAGGGCCTAAGACTAGCCTTCCCTGATATAGGAAGACGAGATTGTTACAGAAAATTCGGAACCTGAAACTCTAAACGAAATACCTCACACTGTACCATTTTTCAAAGATAACTTCTGGGGCGCCTGGGTGGCTCAGATGGTTAAGCATCTGCCTTCGGCTCAGGCTCAGGTCATGATCCCAGGGTCCTGAGATCGAGTCCCGCATCGGGCTCCCTGCTCAGCAGGGAGTCTGCTTCTCCCTCTGCCTCTCTGTCTCTGTCTCTGTCTCTGTCTCTCATGAATAAAAAAAATATTAAAAAAGAAAGATAGGGCGCCTGGGTGGCTCAGATGGTTAAGCGTCTGCCTTCGGCTCAGGTCATGATCCCAGGGTCCTGGGATCGAGTCCCGCATCGGGCTCCCTGCTCTTTGGGAGCCTGCTTCTCCCTCTGCCTCTCGCTCTCTGTGTCTCTCATGAATAAATAAATAAAAAGTTTTAATTAAAAAAATAAAAAAGATAACTTCTGTTCATTAGGCCAAAAATGTGTTGAAATTTCTTCCCTTACCTATGCATTTTCTGTTTCCAGTGCGTTGAGCATTTACTAGTCCTACGCTTTGTACCAAGTTCTGGAGATGACGTTCTGTTAGCAGACCATTAAGGTGCCAATATTTTGGGGTATTTTCTGTCAGGTTTTTTTTTTTTTTTTTTTTTTTAAGTAGGCTCCATGCCTACCCTGGGGCTTGAACTCACAGCCCTGAGATCAGGAGTCACATGCTCCACGGACTGAGCCAGCCAGATGTCCCTCTTGGTTGTTTCTTTATTATGTAATGACATCTTTTAAACAAAATGGAGAAATGCCGAATCCTTAGGACGTTTTTAATGGTCGTTTACTATTCATTCCCATTATGCACATGGCCCTTAACCGGGGTATGTGTTATTGGACAGTTGAGTTGTCCCTATTTGAGAAACAATGCTGGGCTGAGCATGTTTGCACCAGAATCTTCACAGCTTGATTTCTTTAGACAACACGCCCCAAAATGGAGTTACGGGGGTATCAGGGGTGAGCGCTTTTAAAGCTTTGATACCTGTTGCTGCATTGCCCTCCTGCAAGGTAATAGCCAGTTCCCACTCCCATCAGCTCTGAGAGTAGACCCTCCAGGGGAGCTGATTTCCAATGACGTTTTCATCTTGTAGGGGTTCTTTTCCTGGGATTTGCTCTGTTGCTTAGTACTGTTAACAGTGTTCTGAAATCAGACGTTCTCTACACGGGTTTTGTTTTGTTTTTTAAAGCTTCTTTGTCTTGCAGTGATTTTAAAATAAATATGTTCCCAGGGCAAAGGACATCTTTTTGCTCTGTTCATAAAGATCTCCCTTGAAGAGGAGTTGAAAGTTCAAGGGTAATAGAGCCACAGTGTCCCCTTTGCTGATAAAAATTTCCAGTGACTCGGGGCACCTGGGTGGCACAGTCAGTTGAGCACCGGCCTTCGGCTTAGGTCATGATCTCAGGGTCCTGGGATCGAGCCCCACATCGGGCTCCCTGCTCAGCAAAGAGTCTGCTTCTCCCTCTCCTCCCTCTGCCGCCACCCCCGCTCGTGCTCCCTCTCTCACTTGATCGCTCTACTCTCTCTCAAATAAATAAATAAAATCTTAAAAAAAAATTTCCGGTTAATCTATGACAAACCTAAACGACTCAGTATAATTACCTTCATGTTTCTAGACCAGGAGCAAATAAAAGGGTGGGGCCTCAGGTCAATAATTCAATGGAACAAACATTTGAGTGCTGATGTTGTGTAATGGACCCACAGTAAATGAACCAGTTAGGGACATAGTTGCCAGGTTACCAGGCCCACTGTTCTCAGTGCTGTAAGTGGGGTACAAATATAGTGTCAATCAGGGAGCAAGCACTCTACTCACACTAATTTAAAAAGTCTTTTTTTTTTTTAAGATTTTATTTATTTGGGGCGCCTGGGTGGCTCAGTCGTTAAGCGTCTGCCTTCGGCTCAGGTCATGATCCCAGGACCCTGGGATCATGACCTGAGCCGAAGGCAGACGCTTAACGACTGAGCCACCCAGGCGCCCCTAAAAAGTCTTTTATCAAGATGAGAATGGAAACTTGGCAGTGGGTAGGATTTTTGATGGGTCTTGATGGAATGAGAAGAAAAGTTTTGCACAGGGAGAACAAAGTCCTGGGAGTTAGAGGCTCAGGGCCATCCTCAGATGTGACTCGGAGGGAGCTACCCCTTTGAGCTGCTCCAGGTCTAGAAGCCCGAGAGATAATCACAGGCTGCCTTGAGTATGGACTTTATCCTGATAGGACATGTGTTTTTGAGCCAACACACGACACAACCCACATTCAGATCATTATTTCTCTAGATTGGTAAAGTGAAAGTCCACTGTCCAAGAGGTTTGACCGTGACTATACAGTAACAAAAGGTACAATTCACATATGAAAATAAACTTTGATTCGAAACTGAGTTGGGGGCACCTGGCTGGCTCGGTCGGTAGAGCGTTCAACTCTTGATATCAAGGTCATGAGTTCAAACTCCACGTTGGGCATGAAGCCTATTTTTAAAAAAACAAATGAAGGGAGTCTGCTTCTCCCTCCCTCTGACCCTCCCCCATCTCATGTGCTTTCTCTCTCTCTCATTCTCTCTCTGTCTCAAATAAAAAATAAATCTTTAAAAAAACAAATGAATAAATAAAAACTGAGTTAAAACTGAGTTTGTTTAACACTCAGTTTAAAACTTCTTCAAGTTTGACCTTGAGTGTCTATTTATAATGGTCTCCATGGCAACAAATAGGCCAGAAAAGCTAAAATTAAAACTAAATAAGCAAATATTAGACCATGTGTGTTTCTGCATGTGCTACATGGTTATTTCTCGAGTGGCCAGTATGTATGCACTTATGAAAATTAATAAGGGAAATCTCACTAAAGTGGCCTCAAGATGCTAGCAGGGGAGGCTGGTAGGGGGAGCCCTATCACTCAATGTCAATAACAGGAAAAACTGTCAATGACAGACACCTAACAGAAGAGTCTCAACAGAAAAGAATCAGTCCTTAAGGGGCCCAACAGGGAAAGGTGTACATTGCATCTCCTATAAGAAATCAATGGCCCCTGCAACTCAGCCAATGGAAAACCATCATCACCCTGAACTCTCGCTTCTCTCCAATGGACTTTTATTCAAAACAACCCCTTCCAACTTCCTCCTTCTTCTCCATAAAATAACGTTCCTCTCCTTCATTTATTGGACAGTCCTGTGGTTTGCTGTAGCCTATGTGTCCTCAATTGCAATTCTCTGCTATTCCCAAATAAATCCATTTTTACTGGTAAAATAACTGGCAGTTTTGTTGTGTGTGTGTGTTTTTTTTTTTTTTTTTAAAGATTTTATTTATTTATTTGACAGAGAGAGACAGCGAGAGCAGGAACACAAGCAGGGGGAGCGGGAGAGGGAGAAGCAGGCTTCCCGCTGAGCGGGGAGCTCGATGTGGGACTCGATCCCAGGACCCTGGGATCATGACCTGAGCTGAAGGCAGACGCTTAACGACTGAGCCACCCAGGCGCCCTGTTGTGTGTGTGTTTTAAAAAATTTCGTTTTTAAGTAATCTCCACACCCAATGTGGGGTTCAAACTCACAACCCTGAGCTCAAGAATCACATAATCTACCAACTGAGCCAGCCAGGTGCCCCCTGGCCATTTCATTTTTAAGGTTAACACAATCATATCTCCTACGGAGGTCCTTCATTCAAGGTCAATCAGTTATTCTGTTGTGAAATGAGCAAAACAGATCCCTGCCATCAGGAAACCTACTTTCTAGTTGGGGAGATGCTTACATAAGCAAATGAACATATCTTATTCATTTCCAGATTAACATGATGGATTAATTACAAGAATCTAATTTAATTTTGACCCAAAACCGCACTAGAACTTCAGAAAAGAGATTTAAAAAAAAGGAAAAAAGACATAATCCTAGAACAGTGTGGAGAAGAAAAGAGATGTCAGAAGTAGGGATGAGGGGATAGACTGGTTATAACTGATTTAGTCACTTAGACTAGCAGTGGGAAAATTGATGGACATCAGATTTACACCAGAGGATCATCAAAGTGCTAGGAACTGGGGTGGAGGGAGAGTAGGATGGGGGAAATGGCCTGAAAGTTGAGAAGCAGAGGTGGACAGTCTCCACTGCCTCCCATCTTGCACTAGGCAAGGTGGCCACCTTCTCTTCCCCTACAAAAGACTAGGCTCCTCTGCAGAGAGTATAAACTGAGCATATCTGGATGGGGTTGGGTGTGTGTGGTGGGGTGTAAGTGAGGCGGGGGAGTCCAGGCACAGGGCCTGGAAAACAAAACAAAAAGGGATTTGGTAGCCTGGGCTGAATCTCTAACCCCCTCCTTCATGGCTCCTGCAGGCAGTTTACTTCAGAGTTGGGGGGGTGGAGAGTGGAGGGCTCTTCTCTGAGCAACCTTCCTGCCCAGGAGGATTAAAAGATATTTGAGGAGGGGTGCCTGGGTGGCTCAGTTGATTGAGCGTCTGCCTCTGGCTTGGACCCTGATTCAGGGGTCCTGGGATTGAGCCCTGCATCGAGCTCCCTGCTCCATGGAGAGCCTGCTTCTCCCTCTCCCTCTCTGCTTGTGTGCTCTCTCTATCATATAAATAAATAAGATATATATTTAAAAAAAAAGATATTTGAGGAAAACTTCCAGAGTGGAAGCTAGAAATCAAAATAAATAAATTTGGGAAAACAAAAACAGGACAGGAAGAAATTTTTCTTTAAGGCTATCAATAGCTTCAGATTAAAAAAAAAAAAAGCCA